AGAGACCAGAAGAGGGCATCAGATTCCCAAGAACTGGAGTTACGAACACTGTTAGCTGCCATGTGGGGACATTGCAAGAACAGCCAGTGCTCTTAACCACTGAGCCAACCCAGTATCTGTTTGAATACTCTTTTTCTTTTGCCTTTTTGAGACAACGTCTCCTTGTAGCCCCAGCTGGTACTCACTATGTAGACCAGGCTGGCCTCGAATTCACGAAGATCTGCCTGCCTCTGTGTCCCAAGTGCTGGGATTAAAGGCATGCACCACTATGCCCAGCTCTGTTTGAATACTTTTTAAAAATCAACAGATTCAGGCTGGAGAGATTATGCAGCAGCTAAGAGCACTGACTGCTCTTGCAGAGGGCCAGAGTTCAGTTTTCAGAATCCGTGTGGTGGCTGACAACTGTCTGTAACTCCAGTTCCAGGGGATCTGACACCCTCTTCTGACCTCCTCAGGCATCACACATGGGTGCACTTACGTACATGTAGGCAAAACACTCAGATACATACAATAAAAATAAATAAATAAAAACTTAATCAGCAGATTCTGCTACAGCCCCTAAATTTAAGAGAAACATATTTGATAATCTTACCAATTTATGGAGCATGCTGTGTATAGAAAATACCCATTACAGTGCCACCTGCCTTGTGGATAGGGAAGCTCTCAATCCATGTCAGCTGGTGACAATAAAACAAAATACTATCTCCAAGCTCACAGTGCTTATATTTTTAAAATACAGCTGACATTCGTTTCAAACAGTTGCAAACATCTTCCATGGCTGAGGAATACTTCTCTAGTTAGACCTAATCTAACCAAGGCCTTCTAGCATTCTACTGAGAAATGTCCCCAGACACCCAGTAACTCTGCATTACTGAGGTTCTTTAGAAAGTCTTATCAGTGTTGTAGTGGGGAGTTGTTCCAAGCCTTGAACTGATGCCATCAATGATGGATGTTCCTAGAAAGAGTCATGCCTCCTCTTTGCACGGAGATTCTTTCCAAACTTGAGATTCTGACTTTTCCCAAGGCTCCAGCATTTCTGTGGTTCACTTGCTAGTTTCCCTGGTTTGGGGTTTTTGTTGTTTTGTTTTGTTTTGTTTTGACCTAGAACTGGTTGTCAGTTTATTTGAAGATTTAAAATGTCTGGTATCCACATATTCTGAAGGCACCTGGTCCTCTAAATGTTGTTTTTCAAAATCAAAAGTCTAGTCAACATGTATCTTGGGAGATACTACATCAGCTTTACTTATAGAATATGTTCAAAGAACACGGAGAGTGAAAACTTTCTGCACTGTCTACAGGTGAAGTGTAATATAAAATCAATACATACTCAGGAGGTGAAAACCATCTGAAATGTGTACATTTGGGATATAAACAGGAGAATATAATTTTATTAAAAAGTGAGATTACCAAGTGAACAAGAGACAGCTTTTGATGATGTCATCATTACATCTTCCTCACTGTCAAATTTCTGCCTCAGAATACCAGATTCAAAATATGTACTTAATGAATAAATGAGAAGTGAATTAACCAACTTTAGATTGTCTGAAAGTTGTGTGATGGGACAGTATCTTTCTTTGATAACCCAGACTTTCCATGCTGGTAATGATATTTGCTTCTTTTTTTCTTTAAGGAAGGAAGAATTAAACACACATAAATTCATTCACTTTTTCCTTCAAACAACACCTTCTGAGGGGCTGGAGAGATGGCTCAGTGATTAAGAGCACTGGCTGCTCTTACAGAGGACCTGGTTTTGATTCCCAGTACCCACATGGCAGCTAACAACTGTCTATAACTCCAGTTTAAGGGGACCTGATGCCTTCTTCTGACTTCCACAGGCATTGTACGACACACACACACTTATACACATACAGGCAATATAATCATACACATAAAATAAAAATAATTAATAAAATATTTTTTAAAACACCTTTTGAGAATTTTTCAGTACCACACCCCTTTCCTGGGCACAATGGGTAACAAAGCAGCAAAAGATATAACTTCTTCCCTCCACACAGTTACGATCCAGCTAAGTTCATATTACATGAAAATGAATTGTAAGTAGAGACCCAAGAAAACTCACTTCAAATACTGACTTTTTATTCTAGATTTCTTCCTTGTTCAGCTGTCATCCATCATGTGGTGTAAGTGTCATTGTAGGGGTGCCTCCTAACTCCCAAAACCTCTCAGTGAACCCCATGTCATTGTTGATGGGACGTACCTGGAAAGGAGCAATATTTGGTGGTATGTATTGACATCTGAGTATCAAATTCTGTGTGTGTGTGCATGCGTATGTGTTCATGTGTGTGATGATGCATGTGTATGCATACATGTGCAGGCAAACAGACATCAGGAGCCATTCCTCAGGAGCCATCTGCCTTGTTTTTTGAGACAGAGTCTCAATGTCCTGAACTCCACTATTTAGGCTAGGCTGACTGGGCAGTGAGCCCCAGGCATCCACCAGTTTCCCTTTCCCCAGGGCCTGGATTATAATTGCCTGCAGCCACATCAGCTCATCAGCTTTTTTTTTTTTTTTTTTTTTTTCTGTGGATTCTGGAGATCAAACTCAGATCCTAAGCGCTTTATCAACTCTTCCCATCTTTGAGGATCAAATTCTTACTCAGGTCAGATTTATAAAGCAACACAATTAAACAAAATTAAAGTTCCTGTTTTTTTGTTTCTTTTTCCAGAGCAACTAGACATGGACGTAATGCAGAAAGTCCCAAGTCAGACTTCTCTGGTGTCCCCATAAACCAACCAGAGCTCTTCTAGCTCTTTGTACTGGTGCCCTGTATAAAGCACCAAAATTCCTCATAGGATAAAAAAAGTATCTAAGGCAATAATTCATGCCTACATTCATTACCTATATTTGGACAAGTCCTTGACTTTGGGCATAAATAAAATAAATTTTTTCTAGGAAGGAACGAATAAGGGATCCCCACCAGCTAGGGACCCTAGGTGATCTGGGTGGCATGTTACAAAACTGTCGGAGCAACACAGCATGTATGTGAAGCACTCATTTTATGAACTTTCTTTGTCTCTCTTGGACAGTCTCCTGTCTCGTTCTTCTACTCACCCTTGGCTGAATCTCACAGCTGCGTTGTTTTCCTTTCAGGCTTTAAGAGTAAAGATTCTGTCCCCACACTTGTGGCTGATTTTATGGCTAAGAAGTTTCCACTGGAGCCACTGATTACCCATGTTTTACCTTTTGAAAAAATAAATGAAGCATTTAACCTTCTTCGCACTGGAAAGAGGTAAGCTTTGGGTTTATTTTTATGGAAAGGGGTAGGCTAACAGGGAAAGAAAGAGTGAAGGATGAGAAAAAATTAGGTGCCTCATGTTTCTATCATGAGTTCAGGCTCTGCACATAGATTTGTGACCCAGGACAATTTGTAGATCCAAGCCTCCCTTTTCACAATTTCTAAAATGGACATAATATGTCAGAGCCTATTTTGTAGTGTTGTTGTTTAGGATGACGTTTACATGAGATAATGACTGAAAAGCTTCTACAAAGTACTTGACAACTAGCAAAAATGGATTACATATTATTGCCCACTGGCATATTTCTTATGCCAGACATCCAGGCTCTCCAAATATGATTTTGAAGAATGCCGATATAGATCTGAAATCTAAATGGCCACCATATTAGGATGTTATGAGTGAGTTTGTGATTGGAGAGAACACAAGACAGAACCAAACAAGGATGAATCGCAGTTCTACCGTCTACTGACTTGGCTTTAATTGTAGGGATGGGAATAGAGTGGCCGGGAACACAGACACACTAAGACACACCAAATGCTTCATTCACTCACATGGAGAGTGTGAACTGTGGAAATGTGAAAAGAGTATCTTTTCTTTTGTATTTCAGTATCCGTACTGTGCTGACATTCTGAGACCTCTCCCCTGGCACCAGCTCCTGACTTTCCCACCCCGAGGAATCTGCAGCACCAGCCACACAGCACGGTTAATTTTGTTCTTTAGATAGTCAATAAAGTACTCCTGTAAACTTTCCACAAGAAACTGACATTTCTGTGCAATCATTCTTCCAGCACACGTTTAAAATCTAGTAGAGCCATACTGAACATCAGCCAGGGAACTGGAGGGCGCCTGGCTTTTCTTCTCCTGTGATTTCTGTCACCTTTCCTACTGGAGGCAGTACCCCTTGTGACCACTTGCATTTTTCTGTCTTTAGACTTTTCCGTCACTGAAAGTCAGTGGAGGGGTTCTTCCTCTGAGACATACATGGTAGGCTGCATGCTCAAAGTCTACATCCACTCCTCTCCCACTCTCTGTACTTTTCTCTTTATGAACTGTATCAGAGGTCTAGGATGAAAACCACTGCGTGGTCCTGGATGGACTCGGGTTGAAAACTAAAGACTATCTAGAACTTCTAAACCAGGAAATTCCTTAGTAACTAGAAGGAAACACTACACATGCCTACACAAAGATACTTTTAGTGCCTTCATGCTATTTTGCAGGCAGTGAACATGTAATTGATCTCTTAATAAAAGCAAGTATCATTCCTTTTGTGACAATCGATCTGAAATACTGACTTGGCACCTTCAGAAATAGTACAGGGACAAAACAGGGACAAAAAAATAGTACAGTGATGTGCTCTGAGTTACCCCTGTGGTATTTAACAAGCCACACAGCCAATTCTAGGACTGGAAGTCCCAGCAGTGTTCCTGGAACATTGCTCAAAAATTAAAATCAGAACCAGGCGTGGTGGCATGCACCTTTAATCCCAGCCCTTGGGAGGCAGAGACAGATGGATCTCTATGAGATTGAGGCCAGCCTGGTCTACACAGTGACTTCCAGGTGAGCTGGGACTAGGGAGACCCTGTCATTA